ACTATGAAAATAAGGCCAAGTCAATATAAACATATGAGCAGAATTCTGCTGAACACTTGCAGACTATGGATGTGTATTTCTGAGCTGATTTCCTGAGCTCACTTTATAGAGAGAACTGTCAGTTCATCTTGCCTGGAATAGATCTTAGCTGTACACCCAACAAAGCATGCTTTAAAACTTCCTGCATGTTTCAGTTAGCTGCAAAGGGGGATTAAGCTAAGTCCTCTGTGTACTAGACCACCCTAGTTAGGTATTTTTATATGTATATATGTATAGGTGCATATGATATACAGTGCTCTCTAGAACTGACAGAAATATATCCTGCATTTTCCCTCAGTGTAGAATAATTGCAAGCATTTCAGYCAGTATAGCCTCTTATTTTTAACAGTCACATCCTTGAGAAACTTATTTTAAAGGTGCAAGAAGGGAGCTCAGACAATAGGAATGGGAATCACAAGGGTCAGCAGGTAGAGTTGCGGGGATGGGCACTAAGAAGAGGGAGTTATCCCAAAACCTCCCCTTTCTCTGGGAGGCAGAACACTTGTGTGATACAGGACTTCAGTTTTTACACAAAGGTCTGATGCATCAGAGTGTATTCTTACAGATCTCAAGGAATTATGCTAGGTAATGTGACTCTGAACTACTATTTATTTCTCTGTACAGGTTGTATAATTGTATGAGATGAGGTTCATTTCAACAGTGTATAATATGTTGTGTGCTTACCTAAAGTCAGTTCAGAATGGGGTTTGTATGCTTTGTAGGCTCTCTCATAAACTCAGCTATAAATTATTTATTCTAGAGAAGGTTTGAGATCATAGAAGCTTATGATGGTATGATTGTTCTTTGTACAAAGCAATCACTCCCTGCTTTTACTAATTCACAAAATGGAGAGGGGTTTGCCTCATTTATAATGCTAGCCTTTCAATACACACAGTTGGCTGCAGAATTAAACTCTAATGGAATTAAGGAATCTAATATTCATATGCCTGTATTGTCAGTGGAAACATAGATATGACTCACTTGCAAGAGAAATCATTATGATACTCATTGTGACTAATACAGTCTCAGTTTTTAAAATCCTTTGTGTGAATTCAGACCTTGAAAATCTGGGTTCAGCAAGTGCATCTTCTCCTCACTGATGAAAACAAGYGTGGCATTGTGTAACCAATGCCCTGTAGCAATTGCACAGATGGATGGTGCTTCTCAGGAAAGCAGTTACTGTCTGTTCTTCGAGCTTAGTTCTAAGGCAACCATMTCACAAAATGGGGGGCTTTGCCAGCTGACTTTTAATTAGCATTATTTCAGAAATGAAGAAAGATTGTGGGGAAAAAAGTTACCAGATTGCTTTAATTGATGAAGCAAGGGAGTCCCTSATTTGGACCACTGGTGCAGAGTCAGTGTGGACTAACAAGATGTACCACAATGTGAAATCAGAATAAAGGTACATACTTTTCACCTTTTCTTTACTCCCTCATGAATGGCAAGAGTCACGCCATTCAGTTGACTCACAGCCCTCTGGCATCATTGCTGTAATAGTTCAGATGGTTTCCTGGTTCAAAAGACATGTGCAAAGGCCCAAGTCAAAGCTGAAGCTGTCTCCAAGTGACAGCTGTTCATGACTCTGAACTTCCCTGATTTAGTTACTCTTTATTTAGCTGCTACAGACAATGGCAGAAATTTTCTCTGGCTCATGTTCTTTACTATGCAAATTGCAGAATTCACTAGATAGTTGGAGAATAGTTGCAAATGACTCAGACTGAAAAATATTTTGCTCCTGTGCCACTATTTAAGGCGAAAAGGTTGAGCATGGTCTTTGAYTCATGCAGCCAGTTTTTCATGGTATCTTTTAGGGCTTCAGGCTCCAGATTTTCTTTTTGTCACTTTTTCCATATGTGAGTAGTTCTGCATGCCCCTTCACTTTAACTTACGCCCATAAGCTTCCTTCTGGAAAGGGAGCACCTGTCCTCACAATTACACATCAGGCAGAGGGAAAGCAGTCAGGGTTATAYCTGTTGGACTACCATCAAGCAGTCTTTCCACCAAATCCATTCCAAAATTGTTAGTCATGACTTTAATGTGCACTTGCATGTCCTTGCTTGCATACAGCTGCTTGCATACAGCTCTGACTGACTCAGCAATAGCAATAAAGGCTTGCTGGGCAGGCTCTTAATTTAAAGGTCCTCAAAAAGCCTTTACCAATAGGTGTAAGCTTACTGTGTCATTAACCAAGATAATTGAGTTATCAGCTGTCTTCACCAGGCCCCTGTAGGTATCTGGGACACACAGGAGTTTTTCAGATGGTCAGTGGAAATCTGGGGCTTGATTCAATTGCACACGCATAAGCATCTGATGTTGTCTGAGGTATCCTAAGGTGTGCCASATATCCATACAGAGCAGAAAGGTATGGGAAACTGGTGCCATTCTGAACAAAGCAGCAGCATAAGGCCATGTGAAGTGCCTAGAGCGCTYTCAGTGACACAAGGGATCCATGTGGGCACTTGGACTAAAGCCCTAATCCCAACAGTCAGGAGAGCCCAGTGAGTGGTTCTGCTGACTGAGCATGCCTACCCTCTGGTGAACTGCATTGCTCTGACTGTACTGACCTGATCTCCACTGCCTGATAGCAGGTCACTCTCCTCTGCATTTTCAGCTGCTTGGGCTCCAGAGCCCTGCCCTGGTAGAGCTCAGTGCCAGAGCCTTGGTTTGGTACTCTCAAAGGAAGAGCTGCACAGCAGAGCCACACAAGATAAGACAGACCCAGAGATGGAGGTTGGGTAATTGAGATATGGCTCAGGGAGAAAGCAACAGTGATAAAAAAGTGTAAAATGCTGGAAAGAAAAAGCAGAGAATCAAAAGATGGGAGTTTGGTGACACTTGAGCCAGAAAAGACTCATCTGTTGTCTTGCATGGGGAGGTGAGCATGTTAATGCTCAGTCTAGCAGCATGCCAGTCATAGCTACCTGTATTAACCAATAAATTATTACTTTAGATTCCYAAATGGTCTGTAGCTGCTTGCAGGCTTTTGTTTTTTTCCTTTCTGAAAGGTGTCTAGCAAAATGACTTATGGGGATGCAGACTCACAGGGGATGCAGGCTGTAGAGTAATGCTATTATTCTGAAAGTAACAAAAGCTAAAAACAATTGTGTAGTCGGGTGTTGTCATAACTATTCAAATTACAGAATGTTCAGATTTATAGCTTGTGTTTTTATGGGGACTATTAATGGTAGCAATATAAAAAGGGGAGAGAAGAAGGAAAGATCTTCCATCCTGATGAACTTTTAGGAATGCATTCAACTCATGGGAGCAGGAAGCTTTCATGGGAGAGGGGTATACTGAGTAAAATAGAAACACATTTATAATCTGTCAAGAGAAATTTAAAGCCAATACTCAAGTTTCTGCATAATGGACTTTATAAAGAGTGCAAAATTTGAAWGACAACTGCTGCTCTATAGACAGAAAATGTGGAATTGAAATATGAAAATCTGAGGGAACAGAGCTGCAAAACAGTGCTGAGCAAGGGGAACAGGACYGGTGGGAGGGAGTTAATTTGTGTGCCTCTGCTGCAAAACTTGCATTCAGCACTCAGCACATGAGACCGAGACAGCATGATGAATGGCATACTGACAGGCCAAGGAAGTTCAAGCAGCTGCAAATGGAGTATTGAAAGAGGAGCAATTTGTGGATCAGACCATTTGGCTCACCAGAGGATAAATCAGTCATTGAGAAGGGCATTGCAGAGAAACAAGAGTATGGTTCCACTTCTCAGAACAGGGTTTGGAGACAAAGATGGTCCTAGGACATTTTGATTTGGCTCTATAGGATTTCCCAGGAGGCACACCTGTTCTCTCTGTGTACTCCTTTGCAGGAGTTGAAACAGATTACATTTCCCACAGMCCAGATGGCTCTCACTATCAAAGCAGCCCCAAAACTCCAAAACCAGATGTGGATGTGCATAAGCAATGGGAAAATCCCATCCACAGAAAAGCTGGAGTTGAATGATACCACTGCACTGGATGRTGGGGCTTCTGGAAACCCCAGGAGTGCTGCTGAAAGGTTTTAAGTTTATTGCTAGGGCATCCATCACTCCATCCAATTAGGTAGTTTTATCAGCAGCATTAAGATTAACTGCAGCTGTAGAAGAGTTGTGAAGGAGTCCAAAAGCACTACTGGCTCCCAAACTGTTGGATGATTGTTTCATCTGGATAATAGAAAGCTGAGGAAGGACTAGGGCAGTATTTATCAAGGAAGCATTAACTAAGTATGAGACTTGGGGTTTGTGTGGGAAGGAGTAAGGAGGCAGCTCAGTTTTCAGGAGCAAGTACATAAATTTGCAGTGATGCAGGATTGAACTGGCTGAGTGGGCACCTACCTAACACATAAACACCTMAATGCAAGCATGTGTTCATCTGGGTCAGAAACCTGCAGTGCTGATGAGAAAGTGAGTTAAGACTACAGCATTCCCTAAGGCTAGCACTCTCAAGGAAGTGACACACCACGACTTACACGCATTTTCACTGACAAGCTGAGGKTCCCCTTGCACATAGAGCCAGGCTGTTTGCCTGGTTACAGCAAAATGTGAAATTCAGAGATAGCAAACTGAGAAAAGAAAAACAGAAGATATCAGGGAGAAAACAAATTAAAAGCAACAATCTGCTAGTGGCGTTTTTAAGTGTAGCTATTTGAAGATATATGCATGAGCTAATATGCAAATATTAATACAGTGAGAAATCAAGTGGGATGTCAACCATATGCCACCATATCAGAGGAGCCCAAAAGAACTTCCCAACCAAGCCTATTTCTCATCTTCCACACAGCTGAAATGGGAGCATTTGATGTGTTTATCTGTAACRGAGTAACTTCAAATGCAGCTACTAAGAAACATTTAGAATCTGAATRACAAATTCTGGTGCTAATGATCTGTCCATTGAACCGGGCAGATCTAAAGCTGCAGCACAAAAATCATGATGTAATGTCACGTACATAATACAGTACAAACTGTATAGGAAGAGCTCAGTGTTCTATTTAAGAAAAAAATATACAATGACTATTGCCAATGATAGTGACAGTAAATATGTCATTAAAGCAAACAATTGCTACTGTATACAATGACCTATTTAGGCTTATTTTCTTTAATTCCTCAACTTAATCTGACAATGCATATAAAAATGGTGGGAGTTCATAGGTTAGTATTTCTTTTAAAAACTGCTGCCCTACTTACACAGAATGAACTCCCTTAGTACACAACCATCAGGAGTGCAATTTCACATGCAAGAAACCACAGAATTTTTGCTTAAATGAGAAAAAAAAATTGTTCTATCATGAAGCATGAGATCTYGAATGATCCATTTGAATTATGCTTTATCAGAGTAGTTTGCTCCTGTCAATTACACTTCCATGCTAATGGACAGCATGTCTGTAGTCACAGGATTTTAGAAACATATTCCAGTACTGTAAAATTTTAAATAGTAATTCCAGTCCATGCTCAAAAGTGCATTTTAACTCTTCAGAGAATCCTTTACACACTCTGAGCCTCTTTAATTACTTAGAGAGATTTCCTCAACTATAACAATTTCTTGGAACCAGTATTTTATGCTTATCTAGCTCCTGACTTTAAAATGTCTATGGGATACTAAATTGGTTTGGGTTTATTATAAACCAGTGTTTTAAAAAGACATGCCAGTTCATTAATGGTCCCTACCAYTTCTAATAAACTCCAATGATAAATAAAAAATGGAGACTCATGGATCAGGTTAGAAATACTGGTCTATTTGGAAAGTAATTACTTCTTGCACAATTTCTAATTTTAGGAAAGGTGTATCAACACTGCATTGTTGTAACTAGCTCTTGTAGCACATGGAGTATTTAATTTCCTTAAAATAAAAACTAGAATCTCAATCAAATATCAAATAAAACTATTTTAAAGAAAAAGCAAGTTCTAAAATATGTTCTTAAAAGAACCTTGCATGCCTCACTCAGTGCTCAATCACTTCAGCTACATTAGAAAATGATTACTCAAAAGTGAAATGAGTCATCACCTAACCTGAAAATACCAAAGTTAAACACTAAAACTAATGCATTTTTAACATTCTTTCAATTTTATGTTTGAAACACAAGCAATCTGATGAAAATTATACTTACTCTGGTAATATCCAATTGGAAATGTCACGTTGGCTAAAGTCACCTTCACTAAATTATGCTAGATAGTTTGTTCCAAATTCTAGAGGGGACTGTAAGAGGTAAGTTCACTGTCTTAAACAAGTTGATGGTCTCTAATACAAGGGTATGCACAATTACATAGAATTCAGGCCAAATATATGGAAGCTACATTCAGTAAGTATTACAAATTGATACTATGTCYGCTATTAATTATACTTGCTAGTTTTGAGAGAAAACAAATAGAAGTTCATTGGCAGATAACAGAGCTTTAATTTAATAAAGAGCTTTGAAGAAGTGATTTCCTACCTTCCTGAGCACCTAGAACTGCCTGACTCATCACACAAGTCTTGACAGAGCTATTGGTTCTATCTTCCTGCCTGCCTCCAGAACTATTTTGGCTAGGGGCAGATTAGCTGTGAATAAGGTACATTTCCTCTTACCTGTTTCTGGTGTACAGCACGCTGCCTCCCATTCTGGTCAARTTTTTCCCACCCCCAAGAGCTGCCAACAAAACCATTGGACTGTGAATGCAATCGGAAAAAATAAGAGTTTCCCTTCCAACTATAATTTTCTATCACTAATTAAACAAAAACACTGAGTACAGAACCTGGAAAGTTAGTRTTACTTCTTTTTAGATTTGAGAGTGCTCTCCTCTCCTGGCTGRTGCTGTGGTAAATCTGCCCATATTCAGTGTTAAAATAAAAAGTAGTGATGTACGCTGATTATTACAGCAGGTAGATTGTCCAGTCCTCATTTTAATGGTCTCGTCTTCATTTCAATCACAGATGTACYCCTGTTAGAGGGAAACAGAACCCAGTGCTCACATCTTTGTGACTTATTAGTAAATCAGAATGTCAGGGTGGAAATACATACAGATTCTTCACTGCGCCAACTGTACATGTGCAGGCTCTCAACACAAACTTAGCAATGTAAATTTAACTGTACAGATACAACATCCTYTGAAGCCTTATAAAAATACCAGTGCAACATAGAGCCATTTTACAAAACAATCATCTTTATAGAAAGGTATTTTAGTGGTATATGCTGAGGTAAATAATAAAAACAGACCCAAGAGAGGGCATGACCAGTGTTAAGGAGAACTCCAGATGAAATTTGGCCAAAAGGCTGTTTTATAAAAGCTAATATTTACCTACCAGTTACGATCCCTGGTAAGGTGCTTATTGCTGTAATACTTTAATATTATTCTTCAGTTTACAAATTGAAAAATATATGAAATTAGATCTGTATGAATGTTAGGTATTAGCTGTCACAAATTTAAAAAGGCATTGTACCAAGTTTTCTTAATTGTTTACTAACCAATTTGATTGTAGTAGGTAAATAAACTACAGCATACATTTTACCTGACACCATGCATCAAAATCACCATAAAAACTAAGTTTATCAAAGTCCAACTCCACAAGGAAAACATGAAAAAGTGCAAATTATGTACCCAGTATTTCTGTCACAGCTGTTTTTTCTTAATATGGCATGAAAAAGGTTTACAGCATATATTAAGAAAATTCTTACAAGTGTTCACTTCAATGTTTATATATACAACATTTCGCTCAAAGTGCTCACTATATGAAAAAAAAACTGATTGGATAAAAATATTTAAACAGTGCTTTCTGAAYGTTCAGGGAAAATTCATATAATACATCAGTCCCATTTGTTTTCCTCTTCACTCAGTGCAATGAGATGCAGAAGTCACATCAACTTCATGAAAAGTTTGCTTGCCACATTGCCAGAAAACCTCAGTTACAGTGGCATTCTTGGTGTCCCATTGGGAGTGGGTCTTTTATTTTTTTGCAGGTGGCTTTGATGTTTTCGAGATCTTACTACTTTCATTCTTACTTCAAATACTTCTTGTATGGCTTTTCGAAAACAATGGAAATTGTAGTCTATTAATCCTACAGAGACAGAAATGTTTTACATATTAATAAAGACATTCATATAATAAGGTAATGAAAAAACTGGTTATATTCTATGTTTAGTGAAATACCATACCCTCTATCTGGAGGTCATATGCAGTGAACCATCCAGGAATTTTTTCTGTGCTAAGCAAAAGCACGTTTGATAAATACAAATAATTCAGTAAGTATTACAACTTGATACTATGTCTGCTATTAATTATACTTGCTAGTTTTGAGAGAAAACAAACAGAAGTTCATTGGCAGATAAYAGAGTTTTAATTTAATAAAGAGCTTTGAAGAARTGATCAGTATACTAGAAGAAAAACTGGAATCTTTCATAAAATATGGTGTCATTTTGGAAATCTGCTTTACAGAATAACTGCAATAAAAATAAGTAGTATCTATTAATCAAGATTTTTTTTTTCTTTTACAATATGTAAGTTTTGAAATGGATACTTGATAGAACTATAACCGAATCTTAGTCAGCTATATTTCATCTTACATTGTAATAAAAAAATAACACAATAGACATGCTGTTAGATTAGGTACTTACATAATAGGCAGATAACATTACCATGTCAGTGGGCTGAATGTGATCCCACAGAAAAGCTGTAAAGCCATATTGGTAGTCAATTGGAAGACTTACTGAGTGCTACAATTCTGTAATACCACAATACAATTTTAGAATTTTGGTACTGAGCTCATGACCTCTTTCARTGTTAATGCCATAAGCTTTCTTAACTCAAATACTGCAGCATTTTCCACTTCAATTTCCCTAAGAGAAGATACATATTTTTAAGTGTTTGAAATCTACCATGTTACACTATGTTTTTTTTCCCCAGGAATTATTTTCCCTCTCCCTAGAGTTCAGACAAAATATTACCTGGAAGTGATCAGGCACAAAAAGCTCATGTCCATTATAATACCAGAACTCTACTTACTGCAGAAGAATGCAGTCTACGAAGTGTCCCAACTATGTGGATACAACAACCTCACACAGTTAGGGACAAACCCTCATTGATGTTTATTCAATATGGTGTCTTTTCTGAAACACTGCTGTTAGTAAGTACGCAGAAGTAACACTTTTTATGCTTACAACAGAAAGTAACTGCATCCAATAYTAATATGCAATGAAGGTGGTAGGGGTATGAAAGAGATGTTTGACCMGTTTAAGTTCTATCAAAAGCTCAATAGGCTGTCAGACAGCCCAACAGCCACGCTGCAAATGCTGCATTCACAAACACACCAACTCTGACTGGTGAATTAGTATCACAAGATRGGGCACACAAGCCCAGGTGACGGCTTGCTCTCCGCTGCCGAGTTTTGATCTCAGGGCACGTCACAAAGACGAGTAACTCAGTGAACATCATGACAGTGAGCAGAAAGATCATGAACTAAGGGTTCAGTATTGACCTTGACCAGGGTCAGAAAGACAATAAAGAAATTTTATGCACTTTAACTGCAAAATATTAAAGCACTCCTAAACAGGACTATGTCCTAAATATCCAACATTTCAAAAGCTTCTTTTCAGATACAAGAAAAGCAAGAACATCTATCAGCCCATTTCAAAAATTTTCCCTTGGTTATGGCAGGCAGGCTGTTCCAAATGTGTATGCTGGTGTCAACAGGTACAAATCTGTGTGAGTCAATATAAACTAACACATTCTAAAGCTGCAGGTGGAAGCTTTACTGCATTGGATGTAAACTTTCAAATGCTTCCATATCAGAAAGTTGTCAAATACATTTACAATTTCATCCCTTAATGCAGCACAAATACTTCATGTCTTTAAATGTATTATGCAAACTTTAGCAAGCTGTACTTACCTCAGTATTTATGATAAAGTTARAAACTGTTATCAGCTAATATCAACCGCAGTTATTCAACTCCCTAATATAAGGGAAAATTAATCCAATAGTAGAAAAGGGAAAAATACCTTTTCKCTCAAAGCTTTCTTCTCTGACAAAACAAACAAGAGCAAGGAATTTTGTCACCTCTTTTAAATAAAGGACRGTTGTATTATTCAGTTTTATGATTGCCATTGATTCTTTGTCATAAGGAGTTCCAGTGCCATCATCTTTAAGCCTAAAGAGCAATATTCAAACAAGATAAAACATCAGATTAGCTAACAAAAGTACTGCTACATTGGTTCTCTCACCAAAAAATGTCAAACTTCATGAAATCTTCGTTTTAACCTTTCAGAAAGCCCTTCTTCAAACTACACACTACTTAAACTAAGAAGACAGATTACTTTTTTTTTAACCCATCACACACCAAACTTTAGATCTAGGACTAGAAATCGGATTGCTTGATTGCCAAAAGCTGAACTGGAACCTAATTTTTTCCTCTGTAAATTACCATTCATTTACTACAAGGCTGCTTTTCTTTTAATCAATGCTTTATATTATGACTTATCATAAACATGTGAAACAGTAGGTCTGTACTGATAATTCCAAATCCAGTAACCTTGCTTGAGCCGTGGCAGCTGACTGATAGTTTAAGACATCATGAGACTTTCCTCACGAGAAGGAAAGTATTTTTTTGCAACATTGTATTATGAAAAGATGTTTCTCCTTCACAGATGCTGTGTCATGATGATCACTGTATTATTTTTTTTGTACACTGTAACATTATAATTTTACCCTCATTCCTGAATGCACATACAGATATTGGTACATGGGTAGTTACCACCTCCCAGAACAATYAGTCTCAATAATATATTAAAGTGGCAAGTTCCACAGATGCTTTAGGAACTGAAGACAAGAAATTAATTGTAATGTCATTTCTTTAGTGTGTAGCTAAAAAATGGCGAGCAGATATTTGGTGATAAATGCTAAATGGCTACACAATCACAGTGGCAGAATGATACTTTYTAAGTAAGTGGTATTATACAGATAATTATTAAATGCACAGTCTTTTGAAATACACAGCATCATCTTTCTCTTTACAAAAAAATCAGCATTATTTTATACCTCTGTAAAACAAGTTCTTACAGTTACTGCAGTCATCACTCCAAAATCTGAAACACGGGGYAGAATATACAAATTTCAGAAATTTTAGCTAAGTATTCCACAATTATTTGTAACAGTGCTTGTTGCACACTTGCACCACGCTCTCCCTTGTACTTTCTTTGAGAGTGCAAGGTGTCTCTCAGTGAGTACAACTGCAAAGCTACCCCAGCCTRCCAYTCCCTAAGCATTTGGCCTCCAAGTGTACACRTCTTAATTCACTAAGTCTCAATGTSCCCCTGCCTCTCCCAGGAATGGCTGGCATTGTATCTGGTCAAGGGCCAGGCCCCTGAAAACATAACTTGCAAGATGTWCATGCCAGCGCAGGAGATCTCCATTTGCTAATATATAAGGAGGGGAAACTGAAAAAAATCCAGAAAGGTTATATAGAGAATAGAGGACAGAGAACTGAAGCTARAGTGAAACAACTCTGAGGCCATTAGAGGCCACTGGCTATTAAATGRAACTAAATATGGCCCCACTTCTTTTTAAAACAGAAGGCATCCTTCTGTTGAGTTCATTTCTAGGGAACAAAAAGATGATGTTTCCTATTATTTTAGGTTGGTTTCTTCCCACTTCACCCCCCAAATAAAATTATTAGCACAGAAAGAGGAAGATGCTCACTAAAGAGGCTGAACAGGAAGCAGTGCTTCTTGCTGGGAAGGATCTGTCCCTCAGAAGCCAACCATTTCCTCTTCCCCCATCCTGGAAAATTATCCATTCTCATCACATCACTCTGATTTTGAGGCTACTCAGATTCTCAGTACACAACTTTATGGATAACTTTCATGATTTACTTACCCATATATACAAGAAATGTCAATCACAACGTCTATCATATCACAGCAGAGTTCATAAGTTTGCATATCCACTGGAGTGCTGTCTGTTGCAATATAGATCTTACTGACTACATCAAATAAAAATGCTTTTTCAATCCCAGAATTCTATTCAAGAGAAGAAAAAAGAAAAAGTGGAAGCCATGTTCTCAAATTAATACTAAGCTTCTTTGTTCCTTTACTTGCCTGTTATACAAAAAAAGCTAGGCTAAAGAAGTTAAACTGCAAGCAAGCAAGCTCTTTTTGAAAGAACTGTACATACAACACTGTTGTATTTGTAACAAACCATAATGTTCACAGACCTTCCAACAGTTTCTGCTTCTGAACAAATAAAATGCCAAGCTACACTCCCAAACTTCTCCACTTGAAGAGATTACATTTCTCTTCAGTGGAAAAGGCAGGGGKGTGAAGGAGGAGCAGAAAAACCTTCCAAGTTCAAGCTTTTGGTGTTTTATTTGTAGCAATTAAAGACATAAAAGAAAGCTGTAATCTAAAGTTATTCTAGCTAGGCAAATAAGAAGACAGAAACAAAGGAAAGAAAATGCTGATGGACAAAGAACACAGTATCATTCAGGAACTGATTTCTCAAGGAAATTAAGGAAGTTTTTTCATAGGGATCTGTTGGCTGTTCTACTGTCTGGTTCTCTAGAACACCTTTGTCCTGTGACAAAGACCAGTGTTTTGATGGTGGCTTCAGGTTTCAGGTAGCAATGRTGGTTAAAGCCATGTTTAAAATGCTAAGGCTTGCAAAAGTGATGACAGCTATGTTCCTGTCATCCTGCCAAGCTGRTTAAGACTCTCTCCATACTGGAGACATATCATATTCACAGATCTGAGAAGCTAGCCAGGAATGCTAGCTCTTACTCTTTGTGTAGATAAGGTAACCTGCCGTAAGCCTCTGCTTCCTAGAAAAAAAATGTGTACTGCTTCACTGAAAACAGTAACCTTGCTGGCTGATATCAAKGGATTACACCTGGGCAGCTGTGCCAGCATGGAAAAAAAAGGGCAATTTCCTAGTACTGCTGAAGTGCAAGCTATAAAAAACRCTTCAGTATCCACCTTTATGGGAAGACAAGGAACTTTCTCCATCCAACTGAATTGTCTCCATGTGTGGGATTCCCTTTTTAATACAGTTTGGGCTGCTGCCACAATAGTTTTGTAACCACACTGAAAATCCCTGACAAGTTTRATAGTTTCAGCTTCTTTTGTAGTTACAGAACTTTACCCTTTTTAGTTCTTTCTTTTCTAAGTCAACCATTTAACACATTGTTAAGTGACTGAAGTGACTCTTCTGCTTTCCATATTTCCTGAAATAGGCAGAAAGATTTCCAGCACTGGATATGCTATTGAACAATCGCCAGAAGTATTTTGGGCATTTTCTTCTTAAAGAGGCTTCATTCTTCCATCACTCCACACAGAGCTAAAGCTGCAGATATCCATTAGTAATAACAGAGTATAGARGTGAACTTCTTACATTTCATAATGGAAAATATTCTCTGAGTGGCATTTCAGTAAGTCAATATTAAAAAATACTCAAAACTAAGTATATACTGTGGATACCTTAGGTACATGAGCTATAGCACAGTATATACAAGGAGAGTCTCAGAGAAATGTCTTTGTTCAACCTGAAGAAGAGAAGSCTCATTGCTATCTACAAATCTATCTAATGTAACGGTTCAGAGAAGCCAGAGCCAAATTCTTCTCAGAGCTACAGTGTTGAAGGACAACAGCCAACAGGCAGAGGCTGGAATTCTGACTTGATACAAGAAAAAAAAAGTAAGAGTAGCAAAGGATTGAGAGCATGCTGACCTGAGAGTTTGTAGTTTCCATACTTCCAAAAGCACAAAGCTGAACGGGACCCAGCCATAAGGAACTTGTTGTAACTGACCTGAGCAGCAGCTGACCTCTAAAGGTCCCTTTCAGCCTACAGGGCTCYATTGTGTCTATGTTCTTTGAGCAAAAAACCCAAAAATGTATGTATATTTATGCTGGTTGTTCTGGCCACACATGGTAATTCTGTAATATTACGTTTTAAATAGTAATTCTGACAGCACCTCAAGTAGTTCAACAGATGCTGTCAAATAAGATTAATTACAAGATTCACTTGAAACATCATATAAGTATGAAGCCGTAATTCATTGCCCAAATTGTATTTGAAAATACAAGTAATTTCAGACAGAAGAAGCTGGAACTTGAGCCCTGCAGTGTCATTCATAAGAAGTCAATTGCAAAATTTTGTATTATAAGACATAGTGATAATTTCAGCTGTACAGGTAACATGCACTTTAAATTATTAAGATGCCAGTGACAATATATAAGACTTAACAATATGAAATGATTTTTTCATCTCAGAACTCCAGGTGCTGCAGTCTGCCTGCACTTGCAGTGACAATTTAGAAAGTTTTCATCTTGAGATGTTTGCCATGCCAGCAGTTACACCTGCTGGTAAGGGCAGAAATATGTCTCTTAACTTAAACTATGCTTGTTTTCAATTGCAAGTAATCCATCGTGGTAGGACCTGYTGAGAAACTGCACATACTTGCTTATTTAGAACTTTGTATGGTGACAGAAACCTCTGTTAAAGGGTTGGATGGACTGCCAGGAGTAGTAACCACTAAACTGTACCCACATGTCTTCAAATGTTTCATTTGCTAGGGTTTTTAGTACAACTGTAACTGAAAAAGCAAAGGATTTCCCACAATTTTTGTGTGGAAATTACTCAAACACCCACAAACCCCTACCCYCTAAAAAACCCAAACAGCAATTGTAGAAAAAAAATAATAACGAGTCATAAAAAAMCAGGAAAAGATGGATAAAAAGTACTATTCAAAGAGACATTACATCATTAATGCTCAGGCAAAATGACAGTAAGAAATCAGCTGTTTCTGTTACTGAGCAAGTGGGCTCCTTATTAAAGAAACAAAGGCCTTATGCAGCTGAATTAAAGGCAGCCATTGATTAAATGAGAGGGGTCTGAATAAGCACCAGTTCTCTGTGAGACAACCCTACAGTCTCCAGAGAAGATGCACATGTGATAAAAGCACTCTGAATCGATGTAAGAATATTCCATGGTTAATCTGAACCAAGAGTCATTGTAAAAAATATGCAATGAATATATGAGTTTTTATTTTGGATAGGTACTTGAAATTCAAACCATGTTTCTCAGCTATACCGGGTGTGATGATGTAGAAGGCAGTTCATATTCCTTAAATAGAATAGGTTCAGTAAAAGTGGTAGTATTACTCCAATTCCTAGGATAGGTAAGCAGGCTTATCTTTTTCTATCTTGAAAGTATGAAGAGAAAACCAGAATTTGGCCCTAAAAAGCAGTTCTCAAAAGAACTTAGGAGGATATTGCCAGTTAGGAATGAATTTTGGACAGTTATTTAAACAGGTGTTACAGCAAACAGCAGATTCCATGAATTAATGTTAAGCACTACATTTGAATTCACAAATTACAAAATTTAAATCATTAAATTATCAAAATGGTATGTAATTTAATTTTTACTATAATAATTAATACATTGTTTCTAATATTCCCGAAAACAAACCAAACAACCGCCACGTGAAAATCCACATTCCCATGTCACACARCTTGATTTGTTGATAATGCCACAGTAATTAGGAAACAGGCATCCTTCTATATGAAGCTGGTAAGCATCAGGTAAGATTTACATGGGTTTTGAGTACCAAGCAAACTGCTATTTTATGACTTACAAGCAGTTATRTTAAAGAATGTAGAAGCAGTATTATCACACTGATGGTTCCTCAAACATGTTCACACACTGTGGCTTTATAAATTCAGGCAAAAATCTGCTGTGAACTAAAGAGTGATCGTAGATCTATTTTTTAATCGTCAGGTTTTTGTGTTGGAAATCTCCGTGGCATAAATGAAAGCATTTCCTCATGAATACTGCTGCAAAACCAGAAGTAGAACATGAATACACCCACACCCTGATATCCAACCCCTTGGCTTCCTGAGGTAAGGCGTGACCAATATCCATGCCAAAATTTGTTGTTACTAAGTTGCCAGGGTAAAGAGGCAGCCCCWAACTAATTGTATGCTGGAGAAGGATGTTTCATCTTCCTGTGGTTGCAAACACTCATTCTGAGTCTCTCTGTCTACAGACAGAAGATACTTGTAAAAACAGACAGCAAGCATGCTCAGGACACAGTGATGCAGCTACACATGGCCCCAGGTCACTAATAAACTGGAGCAAAGAAACAGTCTGAGACTCTTTCCCATACTGAACRTGGGAAATAGCACACCTCTCTCACTCCTCTGGACTTCTCATTTATTCAAAATACTTGTACTTCCTTACAAATCATACCTGATATTCTAGGTATCATTGGAGCTGGGTTCTCCAAGCACACAAGCAACTGTCATCAGTCATTCAGAAAGCTTCTTGTGCTCAGTTCATGTGGAGAATCTGTACAAACCCTTCACCAACTATACACACTAAGGAGACTCTATACAGAGATCTAACTCATTCTGAATGACTGGGGTGACTCYTGGCAGAAGGAGGAGTATTATTCAGACAGCTTTCTCTTAAGGCTAGGTGCCAAAACCAGTATCTAACTGCTCTAGAATTGTTGTCATCATTTCTTCATTACCTTTCTGTCGTGGAGTTTTGAGACTACRTGATAATAACTGGTGTACAGTCCAGCTGTTTTGGAAGAAACAGATCTTCACAGCAAACCATTCATCATGAAACAGTATAAATATGCTGTTTAGTAGTAAGAGAATAAATTCTGGAATGACCTTCCCCTATTCCTAACTTTCCCTTTCCCACAGAGAAAAATGAAGTCTAATTTTAYCTTACTGCTGAATTATCTTAAATAAATTCTTATGTCAAAACCACAAAAAGACAAAACAAAATACCTTGCTTGACAATTGAAGCTTTAGAAATTAGTGCTATATGCCGAGTGCAAAATTAGAATACTGTGAGAAAGAGTGCAGCTTTTGAAGCCACTATGACCTGATTTAATAACAGCTAAAATAGGGAGTTTCCCCTTTTCACAACCTACTCTCTGTGCTCCCTTTCACTCATTGCCCCATGCTTCCACCTCTTACCTTGTGTCAAAACAAGAGCATGCTGGACTCCTCCATCACATGCTTTTAACTAAATTAAACAGTGCATTAGCATGTGTCATAGTCACCCCATGAGGTAACAGGTGAGTGTCAGAACCAGTACAAAGGAAAGCAAGGGATCAGACATACAGGAAGYGTGGGGCAAGCAATCTCTTCCACAGTGGCTACAAACCACTAGATACAGAAAGCTCCATAACTGGCCTTCAGAGTAACTATGGAAGTGGTGGAAATGAATTCTTTGTCTAAAAATTTCACAACATAAGATTTCCTTAAGCTTGGTAAACTTCTGATACACACTAACATGAATTCTGGGAAGCTCCACATATGAGGTTGGACTACATTATGCTCCTTCAAGTATTTATTCATACAGGTTTTAAGTACAACTTAAATGCATACAGCACAGACTTTCCTAACATTCAGRTTGATGTTACAAGCAGAAAAGTGATGGCTGCTAACCTACTTCATGTGACTCAGGAAATACTATGAGTGTCTCAGCATCTCACCAGTGCTGTTAAATAGATAGGGAAGTGAGGCCAAGCTGCGTGGGGGTGTATTTCAACTAAGTTCTGGTAATTTCTCTGAGAGTTCACATTGCTCAAGATCTCTAAGAAGGCAGTGAATGGAGTATCTGAACATGCATGTTGGACTACAAATCTACAGACAAAGGATATAGTAAGTACTTACTGAAATAAAGATGTTAAGCAGGTTTTCCAGTGTTGGAAGCTGTGGAATCAGTTTCTGTACCACTTTGCTAAATGCTTCAAATATAGAATGATCATATATGCTTGTCAGATAAAAGCTGGAAAAAAATGTCACCACATTTTCCTTTTAGCCACATACTGTGAACATGAGGTACCTTTCATAATATGAATGAAATAAAATATTGTCAAACAGTAAGTGCCTACACTAATGCAATTACCTCCTGTGATCAAAAGTCACAATATAATTGAAGCACAGGATTTCATCTCTATACTAGAAAAACCCCGAAGCTAGACACCAAAACCTAGACCTTGATGTCAAACTTTTTTATGCAACTCCCACACTGGTATTTGCCCAATATTTTGYGAATTGCAGGAGAGGAGTGTTACTAAGTATGTCTGTTGTGACCTATTTTTTTATGTTGTGGACCCATTTGTCAGTGCAGTGATACAGTCAAGTAGTTAAGAGCTCTAAAGAGTTGGCATGTTCATGCAACACGCCTCTCTTTTTAATATCTGTGTACTTGGCTTTAAAGTGCTAAGAAAGCCATGGCAACTTGAGGTCCTCTGGTTCCCAGTCTGCAGAAGTCCAYTGTTTGTCACTATTTGCTACAATAATCGATTTTACCAGAAAACACAAGGCAAAGATACAGCATGGGTCTTCCCACGTGGCTCCAAGCAGGCTGCAGCASTGAGGATGAGTGACTGGGAGGGGACCCCGTGGTAAAGAGCTTTCAAAGAAGGCAAAAGTGATGTAGTGACATATACGCTCTGCTGTCTGGAACTCTACTGGTTGCTGTCACTGTCCAAGCCAAATGATTTCAAGACAGCAACTGTACCAAAAACTGACAGGACTCATATTTGTCATCTGTTATTAACCAACTCTCTATCTTTCCCTCCAAAATAGCAATCAGAAATAAGACACTTTGGCTCAGGTCAAACATAGTATCTCTGATTATCCCTTCTTTCATATATCAAAGCTTGTTGCCTGCTACTTCAAGAGAACAGAAAATGGTAATTTGTCAAATAAGCTGCTCCCCTCTTTAGGATTCTCTGCACAGCAGCTGTTCTCACCTGAGGTGAATCTTCTCCAATCCAGCATCTGCAAGGTCATCATTTGCCCTTTGGTGAATATCCCTCTGTGTTTCAATCTTGTGATCATCAGATAAACCATCCACTTTATGGATAAAAATTTCAAAGTTGATATCTGGATTCACTTTATAGGCTCTGGTCACAGTAAGATGCAGCCGAGCTAATGCTTCCATATAATCATCCTAATARAGGAAAAAGAAGAGCTACGAGTTAAGAAAGTATTTAAAATATATATAGTAAATTTTATGATATTACTACAACTCAACAACAGCTTAAATTTTTAATGTTTTCTAAGTAGAAGCCTGAGTCTATATCCAGCATGTGCACCAATCTCATGCTGTCAGCACTTAGGAATCTGAGCAAGAACCTTGAGATGTTAAAACAAATTAGTAAACTTCTGAACATASTGCAGAGAGAGATTAAAAATAGACAAGCAGCTCTTCAGATTTAAATTACTTCTTTTAATGTGTGTTTGTAATGTAGATTTCGTATTTGCTTTGAAAAAAACTATGCTTTCCAACCCATTTGTCTATTGCTGAAGGAAGAAAAGAAGAAAGTAGCTTACAGCCCCCTTTTTTTTTACCTGAGAATCAATAACAAATATCAGTGCTCCAGTGCCTCTGAAAATCATCTCATAATCAAACGTAGGGTCAAAGAAGTCAATTTGCCCAGGAAAATCCCATATCTGAAAGTTGACAAAGGAGCTGTTGGAAACATCCTCTCTGCAGATCTTGTTTGTGCTCTCCAAGAAGAGAGTCTCATTTGGTGACATTTTGTGGAATACTACTTTCTGAATGGAAGATTTTCCACTTCTTCTCAATCCCATRAGCAGGATTCTTGGCTTAACTTCAGTACTGAAGGGATCATTGAAATCCAAAACTGAATAAAATCACACAAGAAGAAAAGGAATATRTTATGGCAATATAATTAGTAACTGCCAGAAAACATACATTTGATATTTATTTTCATGAATTTTTTATTTGAATTTATGCAAATGTTACCAATGTTCAACTTAGAGAGCAGTGCTACTTGAATTATTTGTTCCTTAGGCTRTACTATCAGAAAATATACTTCTCATCTCCAGGACAGAAACAGTAGAAGGCTTGACTGCTCTCTTTGTATGTGAAAAATCTGTTACCACACACACATCCTAAAATACCTGATTTTATTCTAATTAACACTATACCACATATATTTTTCTTTTAAAGAGTATCATCTTACAACAAATACCCTTTTCAGCTGATAGCTACATCACACTGCTGGAAGGACAGAGCAAGACTGTGTAAAGTCTGCATGATCTTCCTATCTGAGGGCTTCCTTCCTCTAAAATCAATCAATCAATCAATCAATCAAATCACACATGCAAGGAGCTACAGGAAGAGTTCAACTCAGCAGGCACACAATTTTTCTATGTTGGAACTTACAGTACTGAGCTTATGAGGAGCCCTTTTCTAAGATGCTTAAGATTTCACCTGCTGCTCAGTAATTTCTTACAATCTGTAAAGGTTTGTTATCTAATAAATAAGATTACAGCATATCATCTGCCTATTTGCAAAACAAAGGCTTGGGAGTACAGGAGCTTCATTTTGTTACCTACTCCAGTTTGAAACTGGTACCACTTTTTCTGGTGCTGATGCAGTTATATTAGCATCAAGCAGTTCCAACAGTAAACTATGCTGTTATATCTGTATAGCTATCCACTCCTGTAGGCACACCAACTTTAGCTTCAGGTGTCTCTAATCAAAATACCTACAGCAGTTTCAATTGCTGCATTTAGCTGGCCTGTAACTGAAATGTCCTTTGGTGCTGAGGTGAAATGGCACTGCCTTTACATGTAAAAAGCTTTCAAAYACCTCTGTGAAACTCCATCTGCAGTGTCAAACACAAGCAACACAAAAAAGGAGTTGTCAGTGCTAAATCCAGAGCACCTCTCAGAGTACACAGAGGTCAAATTTAAAATACTGATCACATAACAGGCTAAACATACTATCTAGTGAGGTTTGGTAGACCTGCTCCCATTCACTGCACTACAGACTATTCAGATTATACTTTGTAGCACAACTTAATTATATTKCTTCCTCTTTTTCTGCTGGAATAAGTTTTGAATTGCAGAAAACTGGCACACGTTTATTCACATGAATCATTTTTGAATATGCCCTGCATACATTAAGTGATCAGCTTAATTCCCAAAATATGAAAATCCAAACCAAGAAACCTCAGCAACAATTTGAACCTGTCAGTTTGTTACATAGCCTTATCAGCCAAAAAAGATGGAAAGCTTAAAGGAATCCTTTGCCTAGGAGTATGTTTTGCACCTGGGSTGGTGATCACATCTTTTATCTTCTTGTGTCCCTCAAGCATCACTCACAGCTTTCAGAAACATAAGAGCAGGGTATGCCTGCCAGGAGGGTACTGATCTTTGTTCAGGTCTGTATATATCTCCCAAATCTGAGTGATAGAGAAATAGGGCTTCTCAAACTGAAGGTWTTGCAGTGTTAGCATAAAACATCTCCTGGCACCATCTACTGGCTTGTGAGAGGTTGTGCCACTCGCTGTAGGCCCATGTCATCTGTGACTGACAGGACTTTCCAACTCAATATCGGTGGGATGCTGTCCAATTCAAATACAAGGAAAGGCCTTGGCAGGTATTTCCATTTACTGTGGTCTTGTCAGTTACCACACATGAAACACTGCCAGGCAGGAGGAGGGCACGGAGGAAATGCCTTCAGGCAGAACAGCGATAGGCAACTCCATAAGAATCTCATCCTCCAAACACTGCCACTTCTGCTGATCTACAYACAACAAATTTAGGAAGTAAAAAACTGAGGTCAACACGCTGCTYTGCTCTTCCCATCAACTTGAACAGGGAATGTGGCTGCGAGAAGCATGTGCCTACAATACTTTACAACTACAGAAGAATAATAAACATCCGTTCTAAGACCATTTTAAAATAGTTTATGTTTTCAGGGTACAGTTTTGTCAACAAACCAAACTAAACATGCAAGATTTAATAGTGTATCCTCCATGGCACTCTGGGTTTGGCCATCAGAAGAGAAAATAATTTATTCAAAGCTTTATAAAGACTTYTTAAAAGCATATAAAGAAAAGTCTYCAGGCTGAAGTTTTACTGCATTTTTCAAAACAATAAAAAGCTGCCATTTGCTCTGTAGGCAACTGAACTTACAAAGTCTCATTTACCATGGATATGTACTTTGTGTCCCCTTCCTCTTCCCACCACAACAACACCAACTTCCTCCTGTATGTCTTATGACATATCCTCCAAATAACAGCTATGACATGCTGTGGCTGAACTGCAGCTGGCTACACTGTGCAGATATGTACACCCGGCTGCCAGCTGATGCCACAGAGAACACTCAAAGATGCGCACCTGTCCCTCCCTCTGTGGACACTTCATTCAGATTTCTCCTCTCTTCTGAATGCCAGTTTTCCTCAAACTTGTGGGAACTTAATAATCTTTGAGATGTCTTTTGTTTAAATTTGGTTGAAGGTGGACAGAAGTTTCCAAGGTTTTGACCACTGATGAGACAACCTGAGGAACAGGCTACCTTACCTAACTCCCTTTTCTTTAAGAAACAAGCAAAAAACCCACATATACCTGAAGAAATATTTTAAATAACTTGGGGTTTACATTGTAGTATTAAATTATTCCATCCTGTTACATTTTTACTGATTGTAATACTTAATAGCAAGAAATTGCTTTCTATTAAAGCCATACTAAAAAAAAAATACAATAGCAACTGCAAACAGAATTAGCAATGAGAAGAATGAATACCAGCTCTTCTACTAGTAARACTGTTATTTAGCTTTTGAAATCGTGCCAGTTCAAAGACAGGGAAATGTAAGAGTATCATCCAAACCTGATGAGATAGCAAGGCTTCTATAGCACTTCCCTCTCAGAGAGAGTTAAGAGATTACCTTATATGTAAAGGAATTGGACGATGCATTGCCTGCCCACATTCCTTTGCAGGAGTACATGACAACTCCTTTTTTAATTTGCCACAGAAATGCCAGTAGATGTATCACTGCAACTTCCCAGACTAGGTTACTGAGTGAGATCATAATATGCCCAAGAGAAAYACTAAACTCTTCTCTGTTCTATAAYGGGAAAGATAATTTTCTCTATTGTGAAATGCAACGCATTTCCCACTTCATTCACTTTTAGAAAAAGTAAATGTTGTAAAATGACATTTGCTAATGCATATCAATAGGACTTCATATTTCAACTTTTATAAGTAGCCATAAAGAACAGAAGCCAAGCTGGTTAGAGGCCATATCCTTTGAAGTATTCACAAATGTAACTCAACAAACCTAAAAGCACTTTCACCCAGAGATGCACTCAATTCCTTACAAAAYTTCTGTTAACTGCAGTTGCGTCCTTGCTTATGGAGTGTTTTGCATGCATTGCAACATGCAGAAGAGCACAGCTCTGAGGAACTGAGAACTGCACGTAGCAGTCCCGACCTGTCTCACCAGGATGCACAGTACACAATGAATACTTCAATATCTCCTTTACACTATTAGACATAYAGAGATAACTAAAACAGTTTTTGAATCCCATCTTGAATTCCAAATCAGTTGCAATTAATTGTCAAAGCAGGTGACTATCAGTGCTTCGCAGGCGTATGGGATGGGGATGCCACATTCTGTACATCCCACCAGCTTTCAAATATCCAAATAAAACATTACAGCTCATCTGTTCAAGTAACATAAAGCCAAAAGGAATTATTTTGCTCATGTTACCATCTGCAAGGTATTGAGCCTCTTGAGTCTAGTTTTGAACTAATAAGCTAGTGATGATTTTTTTTTTTTATCCCACTAATGCAGTTATATTAAATTTTAACCATTTTTGTGTAAAAGAGAGGCAACAGTCCCAAACTTTCCACTCTTGCCTTCAAGCCCATTAATCTTATAACATTTCCAGTACTGCTGTGACTGTGGTATTTGCAGCACTTTGGATTGCTGTCAAGAAATGCCCTTACAACACTCCTATAATGAATTTCTTCAATGCTGACAGATTGCGAGAGACTAAAGAGTTAACAGAAAAGGCTCATATGCAATGAAGAAGGCTGTTCATCTACTGCCAGTTCATAGACATTGCAGAAATGCCTGGTGGAAGGAAATTCTTGTGGCTGCAGCAAAGACTTAAAACCAGAAGACCCGGTTCCACATTGCCACAAGTGGCAGTGGTATGTCTTAAAGCCACTTCTTTGGACACTCTGCAGAGGGCTTCCCTGCTTCTAAATAATTTTTAATTGCATCTACAAAAATATTAATAGGTTTTATGTAAATTTAAGKGTTCTAAAGTCTCTGAGTATGACCCTTTGTGCCAACTAGAAACAAGGACAAGAGCCATGGTTTCAGCATTGAGGCTGGAGAAAAGAACCCAGTATGAAGTGAGAGATGACCAAAATGAAGTTTTGAAATCTTCTGCATGCTTACAAAGTGAAATTATGCTTTTACTTTTAAGCCTGRCTTCTCTCTTCACGGTCAACAGCCATGCATTGAAGCCTTTCTTCCCATACTGCCCTTTCCATTCTTTCTTTGTAGAAAAGTGAAGGCTGTGACACTGAATTTTGGACTACTTGCTATACAGAGCCAGGAAGAGAGGACAAAAAAAAAGGGGAAAGCTCCTTGCCCTGCAGCCCAGTGTTACACAAAACACAAGACCCAAATCCCAGCCCCCTCCATTTCAGATGCTGTATGTCTTTTTCTCCAGAGAATTAAAAATGAAACAGAAAGCCAGGGAATCTGGAAAGGTAAAATGGATTTTATTTTAATCCTGTGTAAAATAGTGCCTGCACGGATTGTCTTCTCTGCTATTCGGGATGTAAAGGTTTGTTTGTGTTAAGTACAATATTCTGGTGTTCCTATAAAGAAGCAATTGAAATTTTCAGAAGTCTAACAAGGTCCTATTCAAAAATAGCCAGATAAAGTCRTATGAAGACAGAATATGGATTACTTCTCTAAAGAAAATAGTAAGTTAGTGTAGCACTAAAGAAATACAATAAAATTTATTCTCTTTGCATCAAAATGAAAGCAATTCTTTAGCAGGTTCAAGTAAGCCGTTATTTAGTCTCAGTTACAGCTCTTACAGTCTAACATTCCTATAGCTTTTAACCATGAAGGCTTATACTAAAATCACTGACCTTTCTCCCCTCCCCAAAATTACATTAGTCAATGCAGCACCTCYATGGCAGCCTGTAGGACTGGGCCTTTAAGGAGAAGGGTTCCGCACGCTATTACTGAAGTAGACTTAAAACATGTGGCCTTGTATTATGCAYTTATAAAAAAGCAGTTCTCTTTTCATCCTGAAATACTGAGAGTTCGCCAAGCTCCTTTGTGAAATATGTCTCAGAAGAATGAATTCAGGCTCTGAATGAACGCAACAGGCTCTGAGCTGGCATTTCCTTTTTCTACTGAATGAGACTGCTTTTCCTGGTAAGCCCGTCCTTCTCAGCATCACCATCCATACTGACAGGGACATGCAGTGAGTAACGCGGGTCCTCACGAGCACAGACAGACGGACATTTAGCAGAGCCTGCTACTGTGGGACTGACACTCGCAGCTGCGGAGCAGCCCCGGACACTAAGCTGCGTGTGGCCGCTGCCTTATATAGCACGACACCCAACCCCCCACCTCCTTGGCACACTCGGATCACATCATCAGGCTGTGGCCTCTAATAACTAATAACTCTCACCCTAGACATGAAGAATACTGATGAGAGATTACACACACACACACACACACACACACACACACACACTTTGCCTGCATTCCCTTTTCCTCCTTCCTCTTTCCCAACACTTCCTGCTACCTGTCAGCCCTTGCCCTGCTCCTGTCTCAGAGCTCCCTGCACCCTCTGACCCACCGGGCACCCTGTCCCCGTCCCGGCCCTTCCCATGGCCACCTCCGCAGCATCCCCGCTCCGCCCGGCTTGTCAGCGCCCACCCCCATCCCCAGCCGGGCCTGCCCTCCCTCCGGATGCCTCGTCTCCCCCGCACCGCTGTCCCTGGCTCCCCYCGTGCCCCAAACCCCGCGGGGAGCCTCGCCTCCTCCCTGACCCACATCCGCGGGCAGCCAAATCTCACCTCCTGGCGGCGGCCCCGTGCCCCCCGCCACCGTCCCGGCCTCACCCCGGCCCCCGCCCCGCTTCACCCCACACCCGCACTCGCTGCCTGCCGCTGCCCCGCAGCCCCCTCGGAGCCCGGTGCTGCCCCTCGGCTCTCCGGGAGCAGCCCCAGCCTCCGCCCCCGCTGCCCCGCGGCCGCCGCCACGCCGCTCCCCGCCGCCCCCGGTGCCGCTGCGGCCGCCGCGAGCGGCACTCACACGCCTCATCGCCGCCGCTCTCCGCGTCGCCGTCCGAGAAGGACTCGGCCCCGTCGGCGTAACCCGCCAAGCCCACGATCTCCTCCTCCTCTTCCTCCTCCTCGTCCCCCTCTTCCTCCTCCGGCAGCTTCCTCGGCACCTGGCTCATGCCGGCCACGCTCCCGACGGGGCTCCGCGGCCCCTCTGCCTGCGGCGGGCTGGGGGCGCGGGGGGCGCAGGACCCGCGCTGGCGCCGCGCCCGC